TCTGTTGTGGCAGCAGTCCTCATAGATTTTATATGCTCAACAAGCCCAAACGCCAACCTCTGCTTTCAGGTAAATCGATAACAGGTCTGATTGTAAAAATGTGGTGGTCTACTTTTACATATTGCACTGCTTGTATTCGCTTCCTAAACAAAAATAAATTCTGTTTTTCACGAGGCTCTTGTATGAGATATAAACTTTTAAACTATTTTTTAAAAATTTCCGACACCAACAAATACAAACAATGTGTAATTCCAGCAACACAAAAGGAATTACTAAACCATATTGAATAAATCTAAATTGACTTTCAAAAATTAAACTTATAACTAACAAAAAGTAGAAATATAATATCTACCGAGATCTTTTTTAATGACATTAATAACACTGTTGTTGATTCAACGATATAATTTTCTAGAAAAGATTTGGCATCAACTAACCAACTATAACTCCCACTTTGCAACAATTTCCTTTTCTCAGGAATATTGTGTGAGGCAATTAAATTATTTGAATACCATTTTTATACACAATGTCACACATTCAAAATAACATTTTTAAAAGGAAAGTAATACTTGGTGCAAAATAATTATTTAAACTAATGTAATCAGCATTTTTAAAATCAAAATATTATTCATTAGTTTTGAGTTTTTCAAACGAATTTAAGTGTGTATAAAAGTGCTTTATGATGGTAACTATAAGGTAATAAGAGAACATTATTTTGATTCCCAATATAATTCATCTGTTTAAGGTTATAGAATGAGATAGTTTCAGATATACTGTTCTTGCTGGATAGTTAGCTGGACAATCCGTTACCATGCCATGGTCTTCTGAAGCCATATACGTCAAATCAGCATATGGTAGGTTGTAATCACCCATAAGATACAAAAAATTATCAGGGTATGAATCAATAACATTCTACAGTGCGACAATGATCAATGTAAATTTTAACACTGAAATTGGTAGGAATGTAGACACCTCCCACCATATTTGAATTCTAATCCATGTTAGGTACTTATTATTACTAATGTGTACATATAAGTTTTAGGACAGTTTTCAAAAAATTCAAGATCGCACTGAATGACCTTCAACCATCTCTCAGGTAACTCGCGGATGCCTTTCGCAAAGAAACTTTCGTCTTGCTAGGTGAGAAATTTAGCGACCCATTTTTCCACTTCTTCAAATGTTTTGAATCGCACGTCAGACAAATCGTTCTGCATTTTCCGGAATAAATGATCATCGGATGGGGCTAAGTCTGGTGAATACGCCGGGTGTGGTACAGCTTCCCATCCAAGCGCTTGTAATGTATCCTTGACCGGTTTAGCCACATGAGGTCGCGCGTTATCATGGAGCAGTTTTACTGGACGTTTTCCTTCTCAATTTCTTGATTCACTTGCATCAATTGATGACAATAGCGATCGGCAGTAACTGTTTGACCAGGTTTGAGAAGTTCATAATACAGTACGCCTTTCATATCCCACCATATGCACAGCATGACTTTGTTACAATGAACATTGCGCTTTGGCGTGGATGTTGTCGGCTCGCCGGGGTCAACCCAATGATATTTGCGTTTCGGATTATCAAAATAAATCCACTTTTCATCGCCGGTCACAATTTTCCACAAGAAAGACTTTCTATGTTGCTTGTTGTAAAGACTCACACAAATGTTAAGACGGCTGTTTTTATTTTCTTGAGTCAGAAAGTGTGGTACCCACTTTGTTCCTTTTCGAATCTTACCCATTGCTTTTAAACGATAAGAAACAATTTGTTGAGTTACTCAAAGTTGTTTCTCCGTCTGACAAGAGTTTTCATCCAGCAACGCTTGCAGTTCCTGATCGTTCACCTTTACAGGAGGCCCGGTGCGTTCACGGTCACTAACGTCGAAATCACCTTCTTTGAATCGCTTATACCAATACTCACATGTACTTTTAGATACAATGTTGTCTCCAAGAACAGAACATATCGATTCACACGCTTTCCTAACACTTTTTCCTTGATGAAATTCATAGCGAATGCAGTGTCTAATAAATAGCTTATCGGTCTGCATGTTTAATTTACAGAATTTATAGGTTACGTTTCGATACTACATATCAAGCGCCCATCTATGATAAGTGAGCGGGACCTTTGAATTAATTTAGAATAGCTGTTATGATACAAAATCGAAGTGTCCTAAAACTTATTTGTACACCTATTATTATTATTATCTCAGAACGTGTTACATAGTTACCCTAGTCAGCATGCTTAATTGCTTCAAAATAATCCGTTAAGTTATACAAGCACATATCAATCATAAGGGAGTGTATTGAAGTTATTTACACCCAGTATTTTAGATTTATTAATCTTACAACGAGGTTGGATTAATGCATCTTTTCCTCTTGTATGGTATGAGTGGACTTAAGAAGGTGTATTAAATAAATGTGTTGCTCTTTACATATATTACAGCTGAGAAAATTTTCATAATTTTAAGCTGTTTGAACAGCCACAGTGATTTCTAAAGTCTGTTTTTGCAACAGATCGAATAGCTGCTTTTTGTAGAACAAACTCCTTTTGTAAATTAATAAAAGATGTATTTATTACCCCATCCTAAGATACCGTATGTTAGGTTAGAGTGGACTAATCCAATAAGTTAACAGGGCTGTTTCGATGCTGGAGGAGTATGACATTCTTTGAATGGCATAAACAGTTTTTGAGAGTTTATTGCAGAGTGCATCAATCTGTTGGTTCCAGGTTGGATGAGAATCTATATGTACCTCTAAGAATTTGATGCTGTTTTTATCAGAGTTTGATGAAGATTGTAAGGTGTAAACTTCGGTTTTGTCCGAGTTCATGAACAATTCGTCGTGCCAATAATTCATTTCTTTGCTGTTTCCATTACTTTTTCACTGAGTTTTGTATTGTGAAATTTATCACCGTACGAGATGTGTCATCTGCGCACATTGTTGTCAATAGTTTCCGAAAGTGTGATTTCATGTAAACTGGAAGATTATTTGTGTAGATAATGAAGAAAAGAGGTTCAAGAATAGATCCCTGAGGGACACCTCTTTTTATCATTAACAGATAACTATATTCATTGCTGTATACACTCTGTTGTCTGCCCCTGAGATATAAAGTAATTAAGTCATTTACAATTCCTCGTATGGCATAAGAACTAAGTTTGTCGCCAAGTTTTGCATATTTAACACAGTCAAAAGCTGTTTGTAGAGTAATACAATTGTCTTTCTTTTGTTGTTGTTTACGAGGTACATAATTGCATCAGAAGTTTTCTTTCCTTTTTTGAATCCATATTGTTCTTTATCGAAAAGGTTACAGTTTTCAAAGTATTACGCTAATTGATTAGTTATCACATTTTCGACAATTTTGGAAAAAGCTGGTAAGACATGAATTTGTAATTTTCTGGCATTAAATCGTTTCAAACTGATGTATACATTAAAATTAACAGTGCCAATAAATTCGTTAAAATGTAACATAAAAAAAAAGAATTTTTTAAATATTTTAAGAAGCAACTTAGATAATGGAAAAATGACTAAAGCTTATTTTCTAAGATGTGTATCATACAGATTTCTACCTGCACACATGCAATATTGTTATAATATAATTATAGAAATAAAGCGTTTAAGGAACATTGTGTTTTTTTACATATTCATTTAAATTATAGTAGACATAAAATTTTAACTGTGAAATTCAAGGAATATTGGTTAATCTTTCGTTGGGGCAAGTCACCGAATCCGTTAATCCCACAGCGGAATTACCCTGGTTTACTTCAAATGAAATAATATTTATGGCGTACTTGACTCAGGTAGATCAGAATAATAATTACACTTTCCCACTGAATTCTGAGACAACTATACTTAAGTAATTTAAATTTATTTAGTCTTTATTTAAAGAATTTGTATGTACAAAATCAGAATAACAAACTAACATGTATAATGGTCCCTGAAGGTTTGGACATGTTCAACCAAACGTGCATCGATGTAACGATGTTATTGCATTCCATGATTATGATTAAATATAAAAAGTAAAGATTATTTTTATAGCAGGCATTATTTTAAACTAATAGTAAAACAATTATATTAATTTTAAGCAATTTAAAGAAATAAAATGAATTTACTTTTTACAAATTGTTTTTTTTTATATATATATATATATACCGGGTGTTGCATCGTCGAGCGCGACAGGAAATCCCATATAATTTTAAATCGGGTCAATTATTGACTTCCCTGATTATTTTAGAAAATTCTATTTAGGTTTATTAAATGGCACTAAAACCCACATTCAAAAGAATAACTTTAGATATTTTTTATTATGCCGTTTACTAGTTATCGTCGATTTGTTTTTATGGCCCTGTATTCTATTCATGAATACACCTTTAATATTTTGGATGTACGAGTTTTTAATAATAATAAAGCATACATTTTAAAATAACAGCTTTATTTGACAGTCATCTTTTACCTTGGCTGGTGCTCGTAAATTCAGGGCCATAAAAAAGGAGAAATATTTAAAAAGAAATCGGCGATAACTTCTAAACAGGATAATCAAAGATATCTAACGTTATTTTTTTGAATGTGGGTTTTAGTGCTCTTTAATAATTTTTCTCTAAAATAATTAGGGAAGCCAATAATTGATCCAATTTAAAATTACATAGGGTTTCCTATGTTCTGCTCGACGATGCAACGCCCGGTATATAATTCCCAATATATCTTTATTCGGTAGAGTTACATAGATTGTATATATTCATATTAATGAACTTAACTTAAATATTAATATAATTGCATAGAAAATTGATAGGAAATGCAATATTTTTGTTATAAAACAAGGATTTTAAGTATAATTTTTTCTCTAAATTAAAAAAATATTGAAATATCTATTACAGCATTAATTATGATGCATGACTAATAAAGTAAGCAATAAATTAATTAAGAAGCATTATATACCACCTGGCAACTCTGTTTAATCGTTAAAGTACAGAAAAGCATTTTTTCCTCCCTAGCTCAATTGCATATTTTTTTTAGATTCGCCAAGGAAAGGTTTCAGAAGTAACTCGGCTATTGACTTACAAGCAGCCCAAAGGGCCAAAGCTAGAGCGCAATATTCCGTTATGGCTCGAACTAAAATTCAGTCCGGCACTGCAAGTCTGCGTAAGTTTGAATTATTAAAATAAATATTTTATTTTAATTTCGTTGCTTTCATTATAGTTTTAGAATTGCATGAGTTGAATTTTTAGCTCGTTACAAGAGCCTACGGCAAATTTTGGTCGTCGTTTGATAATGAAATAAATTATGCACCGAAGGCATGTAAAAAAATTTTACTTTAGCGAACGGCACCTGTGCCGATCACTATGCTGAACAAAGTTTTCCAGAAAATAACATTATTCAAACATTTCTTGGAAACATTGTTAAAGGAAAACACTATCCATGATTAATAAAAACCATTAACAATTTGTATTTTTGCTGATTTGATTAATTTATTTGTATATTGTAGTGGTTCATGTTTACAGGTTATCATGGAAATAACAAAAAAAAACTATTATGGTTTAAAAGAATTGTCTAACAAGAGTTTATATTATTATTAACTATCTGTGGCAAATGGTTTATCCAATACCATTCTTCTTCCTTTCACAGACTCACATGGGTTAAAAGGTAGATTCACAATGAATTGGGATTGTAATTTGCAAGACAAATTAAATTATTCCTGTCTTGTTCTGTTCTGTAACGTGTGGACGACACTTATGCCTCACCTGGTCTATTGTGCATCCTCCTAAATTTGGCCGAAATTTGCAGTGGGCTCTTCTACTAATACGTGCGTTTCTAAAAAAGTTTTGAGACTTGGAATTTATAAAAACGCTAATACGATGTTTTTTTTGTTGTCCTGAAATATTTGATTATTTTGGTAATGATCAGGCCAGTAGTTTTTCCCCACTATATTATGATGTTTTAGTTTTTAACTAAGCGAAATTTCTTCGTTTTTATTTTTTCAAACGTAATCTGACTTCGGACATTGAGTAAAGGAATATAATAAGAGAAGCAACGTCTGTGCTAAAAAACGTATGTTTATTGGCCTCTCATCGAAAATCTCTTTTATGATGGTTACCGAATCTGTCTGCCTATAAACTCTGAGACTATGCCTTTACTCAATGACAGTAGTAAACAAATCGTCGCCCTTATCACGAAATGGCATAAGTAGCAAATAATAAATTAGCAATAGCAATAAAACGAAAATACGTAATTCTTAGATTGACATAATATAAAGGTATTTAGAGTTTGCGCTTTCAAAATTTTGTCATGGAATGCTAAGGCCTTGTTTTCTTGTTTGGTAATTTCAAATTAGCCAAACTCCCTAAGGATTAAAAAAAAATAGTTATGCTACTTTGTGACAAACAATTTTCTTCTTACTTAATTAAGTATATGCAATATTATATACGTTGTTTTATATGCCTGTGATTGATTATATTTAGTATAGATTTAGGAAATAACAAACTAATAAAAAATATGTTTAATGTTTTTATTAAGAAATATAAACATAACTGAAAACTAATGATTAAAAATAGTTGGAATTCCTGATAATATTTCTGCAATTCAGGTAATCGAATCAGGGGAATTTGACTTACGAAGATTAGGTCAGAATACTTGCTTGTTAGTTTGTTTTACTGGTTCTGTGTTGAGAGATTCTAATTTAATATCACAAATATTTTCTGTCAGTCTTTTTATTTCAATACTGTCATACTCTTTATGATTATGAATTCGTTTGAAAAATAAATTAGAAGGCTTGTCTCTTTGGACTATAAATTCCATAATTTCAGTCCACTTTAAATTTTCTCCTGACGAACTTTCTCTAATTGATAAAATTCTTATAGATTTTAACAGTTTTTTAAAATCCAAGAAATCTGAGTACTTCGTTGAAATGACGACCTAAGGTTGTTTTCTTCTGGCCAATCAAAAAATTGGGTACCGTTGTGATGGTTCAAAAAGATTCCCAGTACCTATTATGGCACTATTTATTGCACTATGAGCAAAGTCCCCTCATTCTGTCCATGGTTTGTTTCGGAAAACTTTAGTGATATTTTTTCACAATTATCAAAAGATTTTTATTCTGGCCATAACAGCCGTCCAAGTAGAATGAAAGGGTAGTAATTTGGTCTTTATTCGTAAAATATTTCAAACATTTATAAATACATGTAGAGATTTCAAAGAACCTCTATTTCTCAAAGTTTCATTCAATGGAAAGCAAAGACATTCTTTGGTACTAATATTGTAAAAAGTAAAGTTAAATGTTGCTAATCTTGTTTTGTAGTAAATACCATTCTCTTTTTTGGATTGTAGAAAGATCATTTTTGCTATTTAAATATTTTTCGGTACGTACTATAACTCGATTTATTTTTTAAGGCGCTCCAAAAACATATTGTACATCTTGTGTAATGGTAAGTCAGAATGTAAGTACGTTCTTGAAATTGTCGATGTACAGTCATAAGATTCTGCACAAAATAAACATAGCATCTGTTCAGTTAAGTTGCATTTTATCCTGTGGATCACATATTATTTTACTTCACTAAGATACCTAAAGTCACTTAGAACAGTTCGTGAGGAAATATTCTGCGTTATTGCAGATAAGACACAGAAGTAATATGCTGTATTGTATGCACTATTAAGGTTGTAGATGTGTCACTTCGTGAGATGATAAAGTAGGTCAAGACTAGTTAATCCACACAAAGAAACATTTTTTTAATTTTTGTTGGTTAGATCACTTCGTGATAAGGGCGAAGAAATATTCCTTATCTACTTAGTTTTTGTTTTTTTCATCTTCTAAATACAGAAACAACTAATTGATCTAGGTCAACTATATTTTCGTTTTTGAAATTGTTTTCTATATATCAAAATGTACGTACATGTATATGTTATGAGAGAGTTAATATTATTTAATTATCTTGATTTGTTCACTGTTACCGATATATTTAATATTTGATTACATTTAATTAACTTCTGAATGAAATTACCTTTAACATATTTGTGATCTCTAAATTTTTATTAAATAACAGTTTTATCGCAAATAAATTAAATTCACTTTTTAAAAACCAGAATTTTTATTGTTTAATAATTATCGGCTATCAATATAACGTTATATTTTTTGTAGTAACTTTATAATTTACAAGATCTATGTAGTTTGGCATTAATCCAATTTATCGCTTTTTTCATGTATGACCGTAGAGGGAGAGGTAGCTCAGCAAGGTACAATAACTTAACATTTTTATAAAAACATTCAAGTCAAATAAATTATAATATCCTATTGCAATTAAGTTGTCATGAATTTTTTTTAGCTATAGAATTCCATGGAAATACATAGAATTACATGGAAATTCATAGAAATTCTTGGATATTCCTATAAATTACAAATTCTTAAAAATTCATAGAATTTTATAAAAATTTATAGGAATTCATAGACATTCATGGAAAGTTATGAAAATTGATTGATAGAAATTCATTTAGATTTATAGAAATTCATTGAGATTCATGAAAATTTATAGAAATTCATGGTTCATAGAAATTCAAGCAAATTTATAGAAATTCATAGAGATTCATACAAATTTACAGAAATTCATGAAAATTCATAGAAATTCGTGGAAATTTATAGAAATTCATAAAAATTTATAGGAATTCATAGAAATTCATGGAAAATTATGAAAATTGATTGATAGAAATTTATAGAAATTCCTATAATTAGATAAAAATTTATAAGAATTCATGAAAAATTATGAAAATTGATAGAAATTTATAAAAATTCATAGAAATTCATAGAAATTTATAGAAATTCATAGAAATTTATAGAAATTCATAGAAATTCATTTAGATTCATAGAAACTCATTGAGATTCATGAAAATTTATAGAAATTTATGGAAATTCAAGGAAATTTATAAAAATTCATGGAAATTCATATTCATAAAAATTTACAGAAATTCATGAAAATTCATAGAAATTCATGCAAATTTATAGAAATTCATATAAATTCATAGAAATACATAGAAATTCATAGAAATTCATAGAAATTTATAGAAATTCATAGAAATTCATAGAAATTCATAGAAATTCATAGAAATTCATAGAAATTCATAGAAATTCATAGAAATTCATAGAAATTCATAGAAATTCATAGAAATTCATAGAAATTCATAGAAATTCATAGAAATTCATAGAAATTCATAGAAATTCATAGAAATTCATAGAAATTCATAGAAATTCATAGAAATTCATAGAAATTCATAGAAATTCATAGAAATTCATAGAAATTCATAGAAATTCATAGAAATTCATAGAAATTCATAGAAATTCATAGAAATTCATAGAAATTCATAGAAATTCATAGAAATTCATAAAAATTCATAGAAATTCATAGAAATTTATAGAAATTTATAGAAATTTATAGAAATTTATAGAAATTTATAGAAATTTATAGAAATTTATAGAAATTTATAGAAATTTATAGAAATTCATAGAAATTCGTAAAAATTCATACAAATTCATAGAAAAGCAGTAGTCTAATTGAACCAGATGTTTTCTATAAGAAAAGAATTGTTTTCTGATTGGATATTAAAAATTTCAAAAGATTTGAATGTTTTTCTCTTTCTAATTTTACTAAAAAATTAAACTATTTTAAAGAAAAAAATATTAGTACTATATAAAAATATTTTGTATAAGAAATTCGTACTATGAACTGAGTTTACAAGAGGAAAATTAGTTATTTATGTATAAATGACATTTATATTATTTATGCAAAAAAAATTTTTGCTTACTTTAGTCTTTTAGATCGGGTTTTCTAATTTTGCCATAATTTAATGAATAGTGAATACTATGAAAATAATGCGATGCATTAATGATGACATTGATGTAAAAAAAGAGATAAACAAAATTATTTATAGACAGAATATTTTGAACATTTGTTATTTCATATAAGTGGTTTTAGGTCTTGAAATAAAATACATAGATAAAAACAATTTTTGCTTTATACTTTTTTGGATTTTTAATAAAAGTTATTCCCAATAATAATTTTTGATGGAACAAAAAACATCTCTTGTGAACTCAATCTGTGCATAAATAGCTTAAGTATATACATAGTTGAAGTGCTTTAAATTCCTTTTAGTTAAACGTTTGTTCTTATTTTTAAATATTAATTTTTCTTAAATAAAAAGGCGCAAAAAACTTAGTTATTAGTTTTTCCAATATTAAACTTACTGTCTAAAGTTATAGACTTAAAATTTTTATACATACATACAAGGGCGGCTCGAGACCAAAATTTTGGTGGTTCACAGTAGCAGAATATAGATCCCGGTACAGATATAGGTAAAAAACTGTCAGTATTTTAGAAAGGTATATTATAAACTTTCTAAAACACTGAAAGTTTTTCATACATCTGTACTGATACCTATATTCTGTCACTGTGAACCCACCCACAAGCCGCCACTGCATACATACATGCTGGTCCAAAAGTATATACCACATTTGTTAGAACTAATTGTACATCCAAAATTAAGGTTACCTTTTCTAAAAAGGAGTGTACACAGGGGTAAAATGTCTACAATTCATGATTTGTACCATAACATCGTTGGAACAGATCTAATGCATCTTGAATTCTTTGATAGTGTCGAAAGCGACTTGGATAGCATCAGATGGAGATAAGAAAATTCCATAGGTCAAGTTGATTCAGAGTTATTATATTTCCAATTTGAAATATCTACTTTACAAAAGATATATGTTGGAACAAACCTGATATTATTTAAAAATTTACGGTAACTTTTACATTACTTTAAATTACTCGAAGACAGTAATATCTATTGAAATATAATAAGAGTACGTTTTTATGAGGAATGTTCTAGACTGGGGAATCGTTTTTATTATACTTTTTTTGTAAAATTGTTATTATTAAAAAATTAGATGTCATAAGTGACACTGGTCCTCCAAAACTACTACTCTTGCAAGGGATGAAGTAAATGGTGAGAGAAAAGTAATGGTCTTTAATACCTTATATCTACAATATAACTTACTCTGCAAAAGTGTTTATAACATATTTTTGAAAACCTATTTTTATTACACCCCTTTAATCCTTAATATTGATATTAAAAAAATGTATATCAAAGAGTACCTATATGTTTGAATGTACGATCAGCTGTGTATATAATTTTGGACCACCTTGTGTATATACAGTGCTTTGCAAAAAGTTTGCACTAAATATGAAAATACTTTTTTATTGATGATATATCAGAATATTTAATTTTTGATAAAAGTTGGCGCATGGTCTAAAATTCAATATAAACTTTATAAATACGAGGGAGGTCAAAAAATATTATAAAACTTTAACATTTTCCCTTTTTTTGGTGCAGACTTTTAGCAACAAATTGTGTATGTATATTATCAAAATCAAGTACTAGTATTCTTTTCTTTATGAGTAGTGATAGTATTTTTGGTAAATATTGCAAACGACTTTACAGCAAGGCCAAAAAGATCTCCGGATATGATAAATACAGCATCACCTGAACGAATGAGCCGAACAAGGAGTCGAAATTCACAGTCGCAACGTAAGTGTAAAATTTAAATAAAAGCTTCCTTTGGTTGTTAAATTCCTCTGTAGGACTCGATTATGAAATTAGCCCTATTTACAAATATACACAAGTTTAAAAATGAAAATCATTGATCATTTTTCAAATAATATCTCAATGTATTTTATTAACACCCAGTATAGCGTTTTTTACATCATTTTATATATTTTTTCAGCTACAAGTAGGTCAGGATCACCAAGTTCCCGCTTAGCCTACATCTATCACAGAACTCCAGAGCATGAATCTCCAAGACCTAGAAGATTGTCTTCTGGTATTCCCAGATCGACCCAAAATTCCAGAGACGTTTCTAGAGAAACTAGTCCAAACAGAAGTTTAAATAGGTATAGAAGAGGAAACGACAGACCACCAATGAGTCCAGCTTCGAGACCAGTATTGGCCCAAAAAATTTTACAACAAAGCAGAGAAGCTGAAAATGCTTTGGCGGATGTTTTTGTAAGTATTAAAAACATATAATATCTGTAAATAATAATAATGACGTTTTTATTTATTTTAAATTAGTTTGTTACGAGTTATTATTTTTCTTTTTAGAATAGTTCCACAACAGACCATTACAGAATACCAAGGAAAAACATTCGATCTATAGACAACCAATCCGATGAATCTGAAACATCTAGTGTCTGTTCGGAAAGATCTGAAAGGTCTTTTGATTCCTTTAGGAAAACATGTGATGTAAGTTTATTCATTTTTATTTCAATAAGATATCATCTAGCATTTATCATGGCATGACATTGTTCCAACGTTTTCATTTAACATGAATATTTTGATCGTTTTCAATCTTCCAAAAGTGTCTTATCCACATTATGCCTTTAAAACGTTAAGTTCTATTGCTGCAACTTCATTTCAACTACGTTAATTTTCTGATCATACCTTTTATTCGCATTTCAATATTCGGACTAATATATTAAGGCTGATCTAATAGCTGTTCTTATAGATCTTTATCTATGTCTATCCATAGGCACTTCTCTTGCGTTTCTCCACTTCAACCATCCCGCCCTCAATCTATTCACAACTTCCTAATTCAATACACCCATCATAAAACATATCCATAGAACTTTTCTTATTTTCCCACCACTATTCATGCAAATTTCCTAGTTTTCCATTTGGTAAAATTGACTTATATAAAAAATAATATACATTACTTGTGCAAAAGTGTCCCTTCCTCACGCATATTATAATATTGTATAATCGTGGTGTAAAAAAACTATAATTAAGAACTTCTTTTATCATTCCAAATTATGCTATTTTTATATTAAAAAAAAAGTTCGTACTGAAATTCAGCTGAACTATCTAGCCCATTAGAATTGCTTGACTCCAAAACAAGTTATCATTTAAATTTATCGTCTTTACAATCATCAAATACATCAAGATAAATGCTTATTGTTTATGTGCTTCATTGCTCTATAGGGAAAACTTTACAAGATTACTAAAGAATTTTATTCAAAGACCAATCTCTCACAATATATATTTTGTATAAAAAAAAGTAACACATTATTTTTTCTGATCATTCTATCATTTTGTTTGCAATAAATTTTCCTATTTATTATCAATCAATAACATAAATTCTTTAGTGATCAATTAAAGTTTCTTAGTCTGCATATTTGTACCATTTATTCATTTTGTGTCAAGTCATACTCATGGAGCGGCTCGCAACAAAGGTTATCAAGAGACCTATGGGAACCAGCGCGAGTGAGTAAACTTCGTTTATTGTTGCACCTGTAGGATGCTTTTCGCTTGTTAATATTGGATGCTTTTTGCTATTTACTCGTAGATTTATTCATATAGTAATACTAATACTTAGTTTTATCTATCAGAAAACAACACTTACAATTTTTATTTACATATTTTTGTTCAAAAAGGATTGGTGTTGGTGTAATACTCTCTTTTTATATATACAATATTTAACAATTATATTTCTTATTCTTAAATGAAGTTGATTTGAATCGTGTAAAAACACAATTCAAATTTGAATGAATGCTTTAATGGGTCATAAAAGAATAAATGAACCTATTAACTTAATTTTTATAACAATTCGAATGTATGTCTTTAACTTCTGTCTATAAACTTAACTTCTATCGACAAAGTCGCGCTATTTATACAAAAATGCTGCGCACCGCACTGGTCTCGACGAACTGGCAACTTTCTAGCAGTTTATTCACCGATCCCTTGACATTATCCGCCATTAAAAAAAAAACCGATGGGATACGCTTTTTATAATAGACGTTGCTTCCCTTAAACTGCCGAGTTAATTCAAATGGCTGTATCTGTTTATTACTTGAACGTGAGAAAAATCAATTTTTCAAGAAAAATCACTTACGCCCAAATTTCTTAGCATTAAATCTCAGGTTTTATAGAAAATAAAATAATGAAAGTTATAGAGATGGACAAAAAATTCATTTTTGTCATGCGTAGTGGTCATATCTTTATTTCATGGAAAATTGTAGAAAATTGCAGCAATATATATATTCATTCACTCAATGGTACAACTCACTCTGACTGTAATTTTTTACACTGTTTATTTTGCAGTAAGTTGCTGTATATTGCTCTGGTTTGTACGAGTTTTTAGGTTTTACAATCAAATTTAAATTTTTAATCTGCTTTTAAAATAATGTGTTGGTAATTGGGACTGGCATGGAAAACAAAAGTATTATGACATTGAATTAAAATGTTGTGCATATTGATACAATGAAAATTATTTATTGATCAGAACTATTTCAGTTTAAAAACCATCAACCTTAATCCAGGGTATACAACAAACAATCCTAAATGATAAAAATATCTTTTTTTTTGTAAAATATGTTAAATCTACAAAAATATGCCATATAAAGATATTTTTATTTAGATTTTTCTAGAAAAACACTGTTCAATTCTTCTTTTTTTTTGTATCAGTTAAGCCCCAGTCATCATTTAAAAAATATGATTGTAACTTGTAAAAAATTTTTAGGATATAAACCAAATAATAGCGATGTGCGCAAGTACAAATTGGCAAGAGCGAAAAGACGGCCTCCTTTCGCTACAGTACTACCTCAGTTCTGAAGTGCCTTTGACTCCAGGAGAACTAAAACATCTCACTGAAATCTTTACTCGAATGTTCATGGACTCGCATACCAAATGTCTGAGCGTGTTTCTTGACACGCTTCATGAAGTTATCAGATCGTACAAAGGAAGCCTCGAATTTTGGTTGTACGTACTCCTCCAAAGAGTTTTTTTGAAAATAGGTACAGAAACTTTGAGTTCGATCCAAGGTAAACTCATGTCGACGTTGGATTTGATCAAATCGAGCTTCCCGATCAGTTTGTTGATATCTAACGTGTATCGATTTCTCATCGACGCGACTCAAACACCAAATACTAAGGTTAAAAATGTTGTTTTGAATACGCTTTCCTCGCTTTGTAACAATCCAGATGCTGCGCAGTTTATTTCGCAAGTTCCCGCTAGTCAAGCTCTCCTCAAGATCATTTCGTACGCTCAGGATACTAAATCTTCCGAAACTAGACAAGCCGCAAGGCAATGCATCGTAACCTTGTGGAACTGTAATACCCCTCAAGTCACGATGATGCTAGCGGAACTTCCTAAGGAACTGCAAGACCTGGCATCTAACGTTGTGCACAGTCATATGAGGAAGAGTTCGACGGGAAGCGAACCTGGAAGTCCCATGACTGTCGGAAGTCCAAAACCTCTCTCTCCCGGTATATCTCCTCTTAGAGATGGGTTTGATCAAGACGATATCCACAGAAAATTGAGGAAAACTACGGCCGAGATTCAGAATTACAGTTTTGAAACTTTAGGTAAGTTTTTGCATATCATCTCTGATTATAACCTTTTAAATTCTTAATCAATAATAATTATGTTAATAGTTTACTTCCTTCATTGATTTTTGTGTTAAATTTTGAATCTAATTCATAAACCATCTGTAGACGTATTTGTAAGTTACAGATCAGTAATGAATATTATAAATCGTTATTATTTGTTGAATTCATGGTTTCCTATCGATATTACAAGCCGGCAACGTTGCAAATCAATCTGTTTACCTATAATTAAAGTCAAACTTACAAAGACAAATATCAATTGAAAATTGAGTTAACTATTTCCAAGTATACTATACCAGGTGACAATAAGACCAAGGTCACGTTAATATCTCTTTCATTTATGTCGCGATTTGGATCAAATTTGGGATAAATATACTAGACATAATGTCGAATTTAAATTTATGCATAAACAAAATGGTCAACTTCAGGTTTTACCAGAAATTTCATTAAATTAAATTTTTTAATTGGACCACACTGTGTGTTTTTTTGGAATATACGGTTCAAATTACGTATGACAGAGACAATTTTTTTATGTTAAAGAATATGATCTGGAAAATAATGTTCTATATATACAAAATGTCCCATTAGTGCGTAATTTTTTAAATATGTATTTTTCAAATCCATATACCTTATATGAAACTTATTTGCTTGTCTATAACACAAATTAAAATATTGGACAATTACGCTTTGAGGGGACACCCTGTATAGTATACCGTATAGTGTATTGCCCTTATTGATGGTCTTAAAGTCACCAAAATGTGTTGTTTCCCACTCTGAGTATCGATTACATATCCACACATGTCATTTTGTTTTTGCATTTGATAGTGAGTGTGTTTATAATTTGATTTGGCTTTTGTTGAGATGTGGCAAAAAATACACCCACTCAATTATAGTTTCTTAAAGCAACGATGACTTAGGTGTAATCGTTGTAGCCAACCCAACAGTTGTAGTTAGGGCGAGGAAGGATAAGGGATAGAAAATAAGTGGTTGGGAAAATTACTGGATTCAAAAGACCCGCACTTTTTTCGCATATAATTAATGAGAAATGGTCAATTAATGTGAAAGGTGTATTCAGCGATCAAGTATTCACGCAAATAATGTAATGTCTAAAAAGGATTGTTTCGTGAAATTTTGACTTATAATTTCCAAAGAAACAACAAAATGTTCTCAAAAAATTATCACCTGGTATGATAATACCCTTGAAAATTCTTTTAACTTACTGTCAATAATCATAAATATTTAGAGATTCGTTAGGTCATTTTTTAGTTATAAATAATATAGTAACTGTTAAACATATTTATATACATATATTATGTAACTCATTCAAGATATATGTAAACTCATTAAGAGTCCGCTACCGAGAAACACTTTGCCGATGCTGACATAACCTGAAATTCTAAAACCAGTCTCGGAGGCGTGGCTCCTTTATTCGGAAAGGTGTAAAAAGCATCCAGCCCAAAATGTACTTCGCGCGATTGCAAATATAATTTTAACGTTTCTATAGTAGGACGGAAAGCCCGGTCTAGGATGCATAAAAAAACTGAGGTATAACCAAATTTGACCTTTACTATTTGAAAAAATATGTTTTATTACATTGAAAATGGAAATTGATGAGCATCTTTATTGGACAAAACAAAAGATATAGGCAAAAAAACAGAAAAAAAACTTTTTTTTGTTAACTTTGAACACTTAACTTTTTAACTTTTTTGCTAAAATAGTTAAAAAAACAACTTTTTTGTTTTATTCCTTATTCAATTTACTTTTTTTTGGTGTATTTGTTTTTTGCAAAAATGTTGTAAACTATATGAAAAAACAGTATAATTTAAAAAAAGATAACAAATTGACAAACAAAAATTAACTCACCTTGCCATAACTTTCTTATGCAAAGAGCTATTTAAATGTTTTTTTTTTTCAAAACTGTGGAATTTAATGAGCTGCATTTTGTCTCAATTAATACGTGGTCTATTTTTAATAATAAAACCTGTAGCGGCTTTTAAACGTCGGGGCGAATGCCTCGGCCGTTGAATTGATAGCGGTTTTTTCCATTGTGATCGACGCTCCTCTTGTTGCACAAACACTCTCGCAGTGATATTTTATATCAAAATTTTCGTTAGTTATTTGCACTGGAGCGAAGATAAATCGTAAGTCATTAATTTTCTTCCAAAAAATTCTAGTACTTTAGAAAAATAATAGCTAGGTAATTGTGGCATAATTTTATTATATTATTAAATCAAACTTTTAACAAACAAAACAAAATTATAGAAAAATGTAGAGTCAACAGGATCTTCAGTTTCAGTTGTATTAAATAATTTTGAACAGTATAACACTAGACATGTAGATTAACATGTAATTATTACGTACTATGATAAAAAATGTTGCAAAAATATAGTTTTCAATTAAATGGATAAAAATATTCGGAGAATTTTATTAACAATTAAAATACCTATACAGCAAGTATGTATAAATATTGTACATGTCGATTACATTTTTGCCAGAGAAACATTTTACAATATTGTTAATAAGTACACAAATAAAAAATTACTCTAGCAAATATTAACACTGATCTCATACAAAGTATAGTATAGTACTAACTATTAATTCTATATATAATACAAATTTCAAAGGTATAGCAAGACTTACATTTCTAAAAATGTAAATTTAAGTTCATTTTCAAAAAATGAAGAAGAAAATAAGAAAAATCCCACTATGAATAATTTAGAATACATAATTTTCAAAAACCAGTTTTTGTTTAAACATTACTATATTAACCACCACAGGTACTTTCATATTATGTATCACACTTTTTAATGGGATAAGTCGTCTGGAAGCTGTTGTGTTTTAGGATTTTCAAGGACTTTCTGCTTCTTAATTTTGTGATCTGGTTTACTGGTTTGGATTTTTCTCTTTCCTTCTTGACTGTTTTTCCTTTCTGCGCATTTTTCCTGGGCATCTAATATGTACTGAGGATCTCTGATTTTCATACTTCGGGGGTGTCTTGGATCAATAATTTCTGGTAGTAGGCAATTGTAATAAAACATTTCTAATTTTTTTAACATTATATTTTTAAAAAAAGATTCATCTTTATGTACTTTCAGGCACACAAAATCGTGTAACGTCCATACTACAAAGTAACAGGTCGTTTTTTCCCAGATATTGAGTTGCCCTTGAACTTGATAAAAATAATTATGATTTTTGTTAAGTTCAAATCCATCTCCTGAACTTTTTAAATACACAATTAACCGACTTTCTACTGCTTCTTTAATTGTTGTATTTCTCGCTGAGTAGGGGCACTTAATTTCTAAAAGACTATCATTGGATATAATTGCGTCTGGAGAAGCTCCTAAAAATGGCCACTGACTATTGATAAAAATTCCGCAGTCTAAAATCTTTAAATTGGGATATTTTCTTTCAAAGACCCCTTTCGCTCTATCTTCGTTATTTTTGCCCCAAGCAGTCGCTTTTGTACAAATATTTTTATACAATATATTTTGAACTATTGAATTACAGCCTGTTGTTTGACGCATTTTACAAACTTGGCCAAATGTGGATGCAGTTAAAATTTTCTTTCTTATTTGCAGCCATTCTGCAGAGTCTGCTTGTAGTTTTGTTCTTTTTTCTAGTTCAACAAATTCTTCTTCACTCTTTTCTAAATCAGCTATATATTCTTTCTGTAGTGCATCAAAAGTAGCCTTATCAATATCTGGTTTTTTGCATTCCTGTCCATAATTTGTATCTATAGTAGAAAATATTTGTTTACGCCTTTTCAATCCCTTTTTTCGTTCTGATTTATTTTTTAATCTAGTTTCATGATTAAATATATTAAAATGTGCATTACGTCCATGTAGCAAATGCTTGTAAACAGTAAACAGCGGCCTTCTGGTGTTTTTAGCAACAACGGCAGCAAAACATCTACCTTGGTATGATCTTCTTTGGGTGTAATTTACCCTTTTACCACCTACTTTTTGTGCAATCATGGCATTAAACTGCTCCACCAAATTTGTGTCGACATTCTCTAATAAGCTTCTAGAATGCCCAGCCAAGAATCTACATACTTCGTTAATTTTTTCGTCTAGTTTAAAAGTTTTTAAATCAGACATGTAATTGTTCTTATCGGCTTCTGTTTTACTACAAAAATATTTTAATTTATTACAATTTCTGTGCTCCCCAAATATGTGGCTAATACTATTTAAAATATCTTGACGAAGACATTTAATTTTTTCTTCCTCGGTATTGCTTTGTTCTGTTTTTCTATGTGCAATAGCTTTCGTAACAGCTGTTCTTGCCTTTAAAATATTATTATTAATCACAGTTTTTAAACTTCCCGGAACTCCTCTTGTTTTTGCAATTTCTCTTAATTTATTGCAATAATTGCGCAATAAATGATTCCGGCATTCTATTTTTTGTACTACACATGTTGGATAAGGACGACTATCTATAATTTTTTTGTAGCAACTACTGTCACCATCCGCTATCATTTTATTATATATAATATTATACATACCAAGACTATTACGAAACCCATCAGCAATTATATTTGCTTCCATGCTAGTAGATGAACCTGAATAATTTTTATAACAAACATGTTTGGGTACTTCAGATTTTTTATTTGTATATCGTTGACATATTTATTTTTAATACCAAGATATAATATTTTGCCTGTTTTTGCTCCTACAATTGCTGCAGCTCCAGATAAAGAATTATAATTTCCGCCGCTCCTGTAGGATCTTTTTGCCCAACTACCATCACATACAACTGTTATCATAGCTGTTCCATCTTTATCGACTTGACCATTCTCAATGGCTAGTTCTCTTTCCTCCGCAGCTGCTGTCGCCATTGTTTCCCAAGCAGTTTCTTCCCATGCGTTGCAAACCTCATCATGAAGTTTCTGGTATAAACCTAACCCAAATGTTGGAATGTTCATTGCATTGCTAAAATTTTTTATCTGGCTATATCCACCTCCTACATTCATAATTCCTGCT